CAAAATTCCCCAAATAAACCCAAAATCCCATAATAAACCCCAAAATCCCACAAATAACCCCAAAATCCCACAAATAACCGCAAAATCCCACAAATTACCCCAAAATCCCACAAATAACCCCAAAATCCCACAAATAATCCCAAAATCCCACAAATAAACCCCAAATCCCACAAATAACCACAAAATCTCACAAATTACCCCAAACCCTGGCAGATTTTCCTTGTGAATGTTCTCGTCCCCTAAATAACCCCAAAATCCCCAAAATAACCCTAAAATCCCACAAATAACCTCAAAATCCCCAAAATAACCCCAAAAATCCCCAAAATAACCCCAAAAGTGTCCCCATCCCAAAACCCATCCCATTAATAAACCCCACCCCATTAAATAAACGGCCCCAAAGAGGGGTCAACCTTAAATAACCCCAAAATCCCACAAATAAACCCCAAAATCCCAGAAATAACCCCGAAGTGTCCCCATTCCAAAGTGGGGTCACCCCAATAAATAATCAGCCCCAAAATAACCCCAAAATCCCACAAATAACCCCAAAGGTGTTCCCATCCCAAACCAGGCTCACCCAATTAAATAAACGGCCCCAAACCAGGGTCACCCCAAAAAATAGAGGGGTGCAGAGCTCTCTATAGGGTCAGAGTGTCCCCATCCCACAGCGGGGTCACCCCATTAAATAAACGGCCCCAAAATAATCCCAAAATCCCACAAATAAACCCCAAATCCCACAAATAACCCCAAAGTGTCCCCATCCCAAACCGGGGCCACCCCATTAATCTGGGGGTTCAGAACCCGCTCTGGGACCCCAAACCGGGCTCACCCCATTAAATAAACGACCCCAAACCGGGATTACCCCATTAAATAATCGGCCCCCAAATGGGCTCACCCCAAAAAACCCAAAGGGTCCAGAGCTCTCTATAGGGTCAAATTGTCCACATCCCAAACCGGGGCCACCCCATTAAATAAATGGCCCCAAAATAACCCCAAAATCCCCCAAATAAACCCCAAATCCCACAAATAACCCCTAAATCCTACAAATATCCCTTAAATCCCACAAATAACCCCAAAGGTGTCCCCATCCCAAACTGGGATCACCCCATTAAATCTGGGGGTTCAGAACCCGCTCTGGGACCCCAAACCGGGCTCACCCCATTAAATAAACGGCCCCAAAGTGGGGTCACCCCAATAAGTAAATGGCCCCAAAGTGGGGTCACCCCATTAAATAAAGGGCCCCAAACCGGGGTCACCCCATTAAATAAAAGGGGGTCCAAAGATCTCTATAGGGTCAGAGTGTCCCCGCCCCAAACCGGGCTCACCCCATTAAATAATCGGCCCCAAAATAATCCCAAAATCCCACAAATAAACCCCAAATCCCACAAATAACCTCTAAATCCTACAAATAACCCCAAAGTGTTCCCATCCCAAACCGGGCTCACCCCATTAAATAAACGGCCCCAAAGCGGGATCACCCAAAAAAAACCGGGGGGTTCAGAGCTCTCTATAGGGTCAGAGTGTCCCCACCCCAAAGCAGGGTCATCCCAATAAATAAACGGCCCCAAAATAACCCCAAAAATCCCCAAAATCCCACAAATAACCCCCAAAGTGTACCCATCCCAAAACGGGGTAACCCCATTAAATAAACGGTCCCAAAGCGGGGTCACCCCAAAAAACAGGGGGGGTCCAAAGATCTCTATAGGGTCAAAGTGTCTGCATCCCAAACGGGGATCACCCCATTAAATAAACGGCCCCAAACCGGGGTCACCCCATTAAATAATCGGCCCCAAACCGGGCTCACCCCATTAAATAAACGGCCCCAAAGCGAGGTCACCCCATTAAATCTGGGGGTCCAAACCTTTCGGACCCCAAACCGGGCTCACCCCATTAATTTGGGGTCCCGCTCAGCCCCGGAACTCGAGGAACCGGCGGGGCTCGGACCCCATTTCCGATCCCGATCCCGGTGCTGATACTGATCCCATTCCCAACATTCCCGGTATTCCCGGTGTCATTCCCTATCCCGATCCCATTCCCAACATTCCCGCTATTCCCGGTGCCATTCCCTATCCCGATCCCAATCCCAATCCCATTCCTGGAATTGCCGGTGCCATTCCCGGTCCCGATCCCATTCCCGCTATTCCCGGTGCCATTCTCGGTCCCAATCTCGGTGTCATTCCCGGTATTCCCGATCCCATTGCCGGTCCCGGTGTTCCCGGTGCCATTCCCCGTGACGTTCCCGGTGCCATTCCCCGTGACATTCCCGGTGCCATTCCCGGTTTTCCCGACATTCCTGGTTTTCCCGGTGCCGCAGGGCCCGCGGATGCTCAGCCCCGTCCCGGGGGGGACGAGAAAGGGGCAAGCGGGACCCCATCCCCGATCCCGATCCCGGTGCCATTCCCGATCCCGATCCCGGTATTCCCGGTATTCCCGTTGCCATTCCCGGTATTCCTCATCCCATTCCCGCTATTCCCGGTCCCGACATTCCCGGAATTCCCGGTGCCGCAGGGCCCGCGGATGCTCAGCCCCGTCCCGGGGGGGACGAGAGGGGGACAAGCGGGACCTATCCCCGATCCCGATCCCGGTGCCATCCCGATCCCATTCCCGGTGCCATTCCCGGTATTCCCGATCCCATTCCCGGTCCCGGTGTTCCCGGTGCTATTCCCGATGCCATTCCCGGTGCCATTCCCGGTGGCATTCCCGGTATTCCCGGTGCCGCAGGGGCCGCGGATGCTCAGCCCCATCCCGGGGGGAACGAGAGCGGACAAGTGGGACCCATCCCCGATCCCGGTCCCGGTGCCATTCCCGATCCCATTCCCGGTTTTTCCGCTGCCATTCCCGGTATTCCCGATCCCATTCCCGGTATTCTCGATCCCGGTTTTCCCGACATTCCCGGTATTGTCCCGGTGCCGCAGGGGCCGCGGATGCTCAGCCCCGTCCCGGGGGGGACGAGAGGGACCTGCGGGGAGCGGGACCGGGATTCCATCCCCGATACCGATCCCAGTGCCATTCCCGATGCCATCCCCGGTATTCCCGATACCGACATTCCCGATGTTCCTGCCATTCCCGGTGCCATTCCCGGTGCCATTCCCGGTGCCATTCCCGGTTTTGCCGCTATTCCCGGTGCCGCAGGGCCCGGGAATGCTCAGCGGGGACGAGCGGGACCGGCGGGGAGCGGGGCAGGGACCCCATCCCCGATCCCGGTCCCGATCCCATTCCCGGTGTTCCCGCTGCCATTCCCGGTCCCGGTATTCTCGATCCCATTCCCGGTATTCCCGGTCCCGGTTTTCCCGACATTCCCGATATTCCCGGTGCCATTCCCGGTGCCATTCCCTGTATTTCCCCGCTGCCGCAGGGCCCGGGGATGCTCAGCGGGGACGAGCGGGACCGGCGGGGAGCGGGACCGGGATTCCATCCCGGATCCCGGCGTTCCCGCTCCCATCCCCGGTGTTCCCGCTCCCATCCCCGCTATTCCCGATCCCATTCCCGGTATTCCCGGTATTCCCGGTGCTGTTCCCGGTGTTCCCGCACTGACCGTACATGGCCGCTGCCGCCGCCGCCGCCGCTCCCGGCCCGAGCGGAGCCCGTGGGGGCGGAGCCGGTGGGGGCGGAACCGGGGGCGGCTCCGGGAGCGGCTCCTCCCGCTCCGGC